AAAACCGATCGCAGGTAGAGAGCCTCCTTCCAGTGTTTTTTTTTCTGATTGAAAAACCGTGGGAAGGGAGTGGTGATAATTCCCAGACGAAATTTGGTACGATAACCAGAAATGGCCGTTTCGTCTCGAGAAAGTTCCCGAGGAGGAAATATTGGAAGGTAAATGAATTATGATTGTATCACTTTGGAAGTAATCTCTCGTTGATTTATTGATTATAAAGAAGACTACTTTTTTTTAATGAGTGCCCGAATTTCGAAAAAAAACTTAAATGATTCAACCGAACTCTGAGTAAAGGAATGACTCCACAAAGCGTTACACGGGCAAACTATTCATGTAGATTAATTAATAGATTAATTAATTGATTGATAGGTCGGAAATTGGGTTCTTGTTTCCAGAGTCCAAGAAGCTAATTTTCTCGAGTCGCGATCGTGGCTTCTAAAGTTTCAACTGGTTGGCTCGTCTCGAGAGGAGTCGCTCTCGCAATTTCGAGTCGGCAAAGAGCCGTCTCCCTTTTGCCGAATCAGGAAGACGATGGGGAACTGGAACTCGTGAGGTCGGCCAATGAGTATTTCATTTTCTGCGATCTCATTGTTTTACTTGACGAAGTCGAAGGCGTAATTTGTTCCTGGGCTTTCTCGACGCCTGAAAGCGGATGTTGGGGGCTTGCCACCTTCATCCATGTGAGGTTCATCGCATCTGGTTCTTGGTAAATGCTCGATCCCGAGCGATCGACTGGTCAAACACGACCTAGATATGACCTGTTTTAGGATTCGGTTGCTGATCGAGATATCTTCACTAATAAGCAGTGTTCTCTCGTAATGAGAACCACGACCCACCGATGGAAAGCAGTGCGGGGAACGGGGACGCATGCATCGCTGCGTTTCATTCCCTTAGCTGATTTAGGGAACATGAGGCGGGGACGGGACAAATTCAGGGCACATGAGGTAGGGGCCTGCAATTTTAGTGAGAGTGGGGTACACGTCAGTCGAGCGTTTGGAGGCTCCTGCAAAGTGTCTTGTAGTGAAGGGGGACTCGGGTGCGGTGCCATTCATCATCACACCATCAATAAAAAAACGGAGGGGAGGGAAAAATCCCACTTGGTCTTTTATTCTCATTGACCGACTGGGGGATTTTAGTCGCGACTGGAGTTCTCTAGCATGAGCCAGCTCGTAGAATATCAACTTCCATTTCGCCATCAAAATGTATGGTGTTTGTTGAGCCCTTCCCTCGAAGAGGCGCATTTTCCCCTCTTTAAATCGACGCGAAAGCCGCCCATGCGTTCCCAAAACGGATGCCTTCCATCGATGTACCCGCGTGGACGAGTCGGCGACACGATCCAGCCTTCCGCTCCTCGTCTTTAGCAGCGAAGGCGATGGGATTCCATGTTGTACGGCGAAGAGCCGCCTGGCCTCGGCCTCAAACGCGTGAAGGCGACTCAAAGCTGCAAACTCAGAGGCAAGGTCAATTCCTCATTCGCTCGGACATCTGATGAAGAGACCATGTGACTTCCTGGATATCAAGGGTCTACCGCAAAACTCGCGCACCGTGCAAATGATTCCAGTTTAAATAAAGACAAGAGTGACTACAGGAAACGAAAATAAATTTATTTGCTGCAGTCGAGGAACACTGGCGAGTGTGGACAAGTTAACATCAACCGGGCATCATATTGACGGTATTCTTCTGATTCGGAGTTCTTTGCGAAATCAGGAAGAAACTGCATCAACTGGAAAATAAAGGGTGATGGAATGTATCATTTGAGCTTTCAGGGTCCCAGAAACCGGCGTAATTGCAACAGCAGGAAGTCAGGTGATGACTATAGACTAAATCGGTCCCCACCTTCTCCTTCCCGAACATTTCCTTAATCACTTTATTTCAGAGGGTTTTGGCGGCAATGTACGTCGTAGGAATTTCTTGTTCTGTTCTGCGCAAGAAAACTAGCCAGGTCTACAAGGATTAATATGCTGCGCAATGCTACCTCATGGAAGGGAAGGCCAAAGAAAATTTCAAGATTGGGATGAGGAAATGGACGACCATAGAATGAAGACACGGTCGCATTGCTTCAAGAGAGGACATTACATTTTATTGCACGTGGAATTAAATCTATAACTTTTAACTTCAGGCCGACCTTTCCCAATAGGAAAGGATGGCACCCGGCGCGAATAGATGACGCAATTAAAAGAGGAAAGAGGCTCTTCCCCTCCGAGACGCGAGAGGATCGGGCACTGAGTCTCGCGTGGGGTCCTCCCTCACCCAACCTAATATGTGGTACGTGGAGGTGCAACCTTCAGCTTCTTCTCTAGAGCGGGGTTCACGAAAAACGGGGACATGTGGACCAGGGTCTGCATCTCGGTTTCTTGCGTTTCCTTCAACGGTATCTTGACTGAATCAGGCGACGTGTGACTCGTCGCAGCTGCCGCTGGGTCGTTCATCGCTGCTACACCTGCCAATCATTCACATCGTTCATAGTAACATGCCCTTTTCGCAGTTAGATCAAAAGATCCTCATGGTAAAATAGTAATCGGTTCCTGCATTTGGAATAATTTTTCGCTGAAGTTTCCAGCAAAACTGTACCAGTGACGGCGTCGAAGTTCTTGCCATCCAGAACGCGTTGCCGACGCTTCAGGTACCAGAAGGAGAAGAACTCGACAAAGAAGACGAAGAGTTCCACCACGGTGATCAAACTGAGCCCAGCAAACAGGCCGATTGACCCACCCAAGTTCGACACGAGGGTCACCCACTAAAAAGGATTTAATTGTGTTTTTGTTTTAAAGTTTCTTTTACAGAACCGAACTTGGTCCTTACCGTGCAGGCAGGACTTTCCTGGATCAGCGTGTAGCTGTTGTCTTCGAAGTAGACGTGCAAGTAAGCCGTGTTCCTGTCTTCGTCCCTGTTTCCAAGTTAAAGCAAAATAAAACCAGCATTAGTACTCCTTTGACACATTTAACGCATATGGCACTTACGGACTGCTGCAGACGTCGCTGCCGAACTGGAATTTTTTGAAGAAGGAGAGAGCGTAGAGGAAATTTTCGTTAGGCAACACCTGAGACAGAGTTGGCCTGTATTTCACCTCCCTAGACATGAGTGCGCAAAAAAATTAGCGTGTCGAAAGTGAAGTTCGAGCTGAAAAGAATCCCACAGCAGTCAATGTCAGATGTCAACCAAAAATTCGTCTTACATGCAAGCTGGTGGGCACAAGCACTTTAGTTCCTGAGCGATGAACTTTGCTTCAACTTCCATGAGGCAGGTGACTAAAATCATTACAAATGAAAATATTGACATAGAACTGGAATGGCCACGTTGATTTGGAATTGGAAGGGTTCCATACGCTGGGAGAAATTGAGAGGATTGCATGGGGCCATGTCGGTGAGGCTGTCGAAGAGGGGATTCACGCTCTTCTTGCAGCCGCATTGCTTACGGTACCAACCCTCGGAGCAAACCTTCGTGCATGCCTGTAAAAATTCATAATACGGAAATCCCATTGTAGAGGTGGAGGCTGTGACTTTGCCTTTTCACATGCGGGCGAAATTGGAATTTCAGTCTAGAATTTGAACGTGGAATTTCGAATGGTTCCTTTGCCTTTTCTACCGATCACAACGTTTCTGAATCGTCTGTCTCCCTTCCGCTTCCTTCGTCTCCATGAGAGTGGAGTAGGTGTTTTCCTGCTCTCGCATATTGCGCAACGGTGCCCAACCCTTGGCCGCGGGGAAAAAGTGCTCCGCGAGACCCTAACCCATAATAAGTACATTCATGCTTTTTTTTTAAATAATCAACAATACTAGTGACTGCATATGGCCCACGCTGGCTGCGGGAGTGAGTCATGTGGCTCCCGTACCGAAAAAGTCGGACAAAACTGGTTTAGTGTGAATCTGATCCTTCTCCGTTCCCCTTGTATTTCCTTGAAACCAACTCGTATGGCATCAGTCATCGTGGGTTGTTAGTTCCTTCGTGGCTGCCGATCCCATCTTCCCAGTCTGCCGTTTTGTCGAGGTGGGCATCAAACGTGGAAAAACCTGTAGCACTTTCAGCATGGTCCCTCATGCACACCATGAATTGGAGCATCAAATTAAGAAGAGAAGATAAAATGAATAGTTTTGCAGGCATTACCGAACAATACATGTTTCCTGTTCCGGATGCAAGTAATTGGACGACTAATGCAAATTATCTCATTAAGATTACCTAAAGCTGCACAGCCAGGCACATGGTAAGTAGGCGAGAGATAAGAATCACTCTGACATTGACGTTCCGAGAAAATTGTCTTCCACATGAGATTAGAATATTGAGCTCAGCCACCAACCTCATTGTCCCCGTAAATCGAGGATTGAGATCCTTTTGTAGGTAAAGGGTAGACCTAAGCCTAACCTGAAGAGAGTTCGTGGGTTAGGCCGATGCCTATTGAATCTCGTGGAGAGGAGGGCGCGGGAGTGAAAAAAAAATTGGGTAAGCATTTGAAAAGTGGTTTTCACACTAATTCATATTCTATTAGCAATGGATTAGTAGGAGCTCTCGCATGAACCTCGCATGAATCTCATAATTTTGGGAGCGTTGTTTGAAATTCATTCTCCATTCTTTGAAGTTACATCGTTATTGATCGGGATTGATGCACCACGACTATTTATGAATTAGCAGTCCCTGAGACTGCGACCTGCCTTACTGATTGCGAATAGTTGCCAAGGTGAATCCAATTCCATTCCTTGCAGTCTCCATAGGGACTTCCGACTCGCCCTATGTCCTCCTGTAAATGCAGGATTAAATAGCTTATGAAATAGGCAGAGGAGCGAAGTGCGAACGGCTTCTATTCCTCCTGCCCGTACAGGGAGTACCGCACTCACCCGAGTGAGGGAAGCAGTGGTGACCATTCCTGGAGGGAGGTTGAAGCCCTGACCTTCAGGGAACGGGAGCTGGGACCTGGGATGAATCACGACGCGGGCGCCTTTGTATCTCGCCAGGACCGAAAAGCTGTCCTGAACGTCGAGTTGCAGGATGACCCGAAGTCCGTGCTGAAACATGCACGTGCTTCTCTTTTTGGTTATGCCACGGTTTGGGAAGTTCTTCCATGAATGCCAAAAGTAAGAGACACGTGGATACTTTTTGAACATGTGAAGTAGCTGTGGGGCGTTTGCACTTCTCAGGATTTTAAACATTCTATTTCGGTTTATTCAGGCAACTCACCAAATGCCATGACGCCGCTTCACACTCAGTTGACACTTTTCTCTCATTGACTCTGCATACCACTTCAAACACCCAAAAGTTTCTTTGTTTTATGATTTCTGCTCATCTCTGCATTCACTGCCAAGAAAGACTCTATTTGCTGACGCATATCCGCTTCTTGCCATTAGACCTCCACATTTTTGTTCATAAATCCCACAGGGAAGCTACAGGACTAGCAAATTCATTGCTTCCCCCACTTTGCCCACTCGGCTCCAGGTTCGCTGGCAGTGACATTAGTTGCAACAACGGTTGCTTTCCTTTCCTTGCAGGAGATGCACACGAGCCCCCTGGTATGAATTTAAGATTATCTTTCTCCTGAGATTGATATAGGCAAAAAAAGTCGTGAACATCCGACCAGAACGCGAAGGATATACCAGAAAGAGTGCACCGAACCAAACACCATTCCGAGTCAATACCTCGAAATTCTTAAAAGGAAGGTTTCGTGATCGCCAGTGGCCTGAAGAAGAAGGAGGTGAATGGCATGAGAGGACGAAAGGATTCCAGGAAACGATCGGGAATCGTACCCGGAGCTCCCGATTGCCGGTCCGGTGTGCTACCGCTAAACCACCGAACCTGGGACATTTAATCGTCTCACTCCGTACCATCTCTAACACTACGGTACGCTAAGATCTTCCACTGGAATATCAGTTTCGTGGTTTTAGTTGAGAAAAGAAAAAGACCCATTAAAAATTATGTTCGTTTTCAAGAATGCCGAGAGATTTCTTCCTAATTGTAGGTGAAAGATAATTGTCTCGTGAGAGAATCATTATATTCCTTTATATTCCTCTATATTCCTTTAATTCGGCTTGAAATCAGATTTTTTAAATTTCTAGGATGTTTATTACGGAAAATTAAGATGGACCTGATAGCCGAATGTGGACGTGTAAAGCGGAGTCACGTTCTGCTTGACGTAGCTCCCGTTCGAGTCCATCACGTACTTCTCCAGGAACGGACTGTTGAAGGTGAAACACTTCCCGTAGTCGTCGCTCTGCCATTCGTGGAAATCCCTGGAGAAAACCAATGCGCAGAATTGGAAAGCTGAAGCACTCGGCATTCCAGCCCGGACCTTCGCCCAGGGCCCGAGTGCAAAAATGAACTTGCTTGTAGGAGCAGTCTCGATTGTCGAAACTGCAGCTGACGATGGATTCCCTGGCACCGATCCCGTACTTATCGACTTCATCGGGGTCCGGCGAGTAGACTTGCATCAGGTCGCTCATGTCCTTTGTCCTCGACTTGGTAATCATCTCACCAAAGTCGCCAGTGACATCTGCAACGACGTTTCTTGGCAATTTAATAAAAATAAAAATCCTTCATATTATTGCCTGAAAGTGTTTGAACCGACACTTCTCGTAGCAGTAATCGTCTCCTGAAGGGCGGCGGACGCACACTTGCTCGCAGTTGCAGTTTTTATCGTGTTTCGTGTAGACTTCCACTGCAAGTCAAGGAATTGATGTTGAGTTTCTTCGAGTCTGCAGATTAGCTCAGAAAATGAAACCATGCAGCCATGCCTTTACTTCTATTAGTTAGGCACATACACTTATTTCCTGACTTTTCGCAGGATGACTTATATTAAAACGGCATAATATAACCATTGCTCTGGAAAACGCTTGCGAAATGGCCTTTTCTGCCAGTTCTGACCTTTACAGTGCATCTCGTCGGACATGTCGGGACAGTCGAAGACACTGTTGCACCTCTTGTCTAGGCTCACGCAGCCACCCTTGGTCTCGCAGCCGAATGCCCCGATGCTTCGACAATCTACGAAGAAAGAAATCACTGGGGATAAATCCTCGGCCATCCAGAGACTCGAAACCTCCGATTGAAAGGGGAGAATCGTACACTCGGTGCAATTTTGTTCGTCGAATCCGTCCTTGCAGTCCGGGACACCGTTGCAGCGCATGTCCCCAGGGATGCACGAATTTGACTCATTGCACATGAAGCTCTTCGTCGCCTCGCAGACTGCATCGTGAGACCAGGCCGGAATCAAGATGGAATCAGGACAGAATCAGAACCTCGGTTTTTTGTCGTGTCACGTGACTCGAACATTCTCCTCTTCGCAGCGAGTCACCTCTTTCACGAAATTACTTTTTGCTATGCATTGACAATTAGTGTAGGCAAAGCCACTTTGAATGGCTTTTCTGTTCGCTTGAGTTAAGAAGGATGCTTGGAACTTTTCACGAAGAATGATAATAAAAATTAAGCTATCCCGGTGAAATTTATCATATATATTCATTGATCTCCTGTATTTGTAATATATCCGCATTTTTATGAGCATGTTTTTGAAAGGAATTCGATGCTCACTCAACATTTCTGCAGATGTAATGAGAAAAAATTGTTCTGTGTCCCGTTCATCTATATGACAGACGTGTGCATGGACAGGAGGGGCTATACTAGTACAGGCAGTACTAATGCAACAAATTGTATTGTTTCCACCATGGGAATGCCTCCATTGTATATTGAATTTGGAGCAAATAGCAGCGCCAATATCGGCCCAATATTGGCTAAGGTAGCAATCCAGATTATGGTCCAATATGCTAAAATTTTTATTTGGGTTTATATTGAATCCATTTGGACCCGGAATCCATAACAAATTGTGTGAAAATTGAGTCCTTTCAAGGACGTAAGAAGTTTAATCAAGTGTCAAGAAAGATGAAAATACTGAAGAAAATTTCTTAGCCGTATGCAAGCTGGTCTCAAAAACGCAGAAGCCCCAAGAAATTTGGAAAGTTACTCACGTTCGACGAACCGGTCGCAGACGAAGGTCTCGTCGGACTCGTCCTTGCAATCCGCCTTCTTGTCGCACACCTTCATCGAGTCAAAAGTTTATGCTGTCACGATCACGGTTCTATATTATGTTGCTATTGAACTCTAAGCGTGAGGATCTCTTTAAGATCTTTTGATAGATATTAAACCTTTTTTGTTCGGAAGTAGAGGATTGAAAGCTGCAATCACAATTACTAGCCGCTGAAGAAAGTGGGTCTGCTGAAGAAAGTAAAGGAGTTCGTGAAATTCCCAACGAAAATATTCTCTCGGTGAGACGACGTGACGCCATCGCAAGCAGCGGTCGAATAGTGTGCGTGATGCGTCAGTCCGACATGAAAAGGAGGCGCGTCGACTGCTCGGAGAGGCATGATTGTCTCCAGCGGTTGCGAATCGGTCAATTAACGTCGAACATCTTAAGTCAGAGCACGGCAGTTATGGATTCATTTGAAGCATTTTCAAGATTTTTTTGGAGGAGGGAAAGTGAATTACATATATACATTTTTCGCTTGTCATTCCGTTTCGAATAAAAGAAAAACTGGGGTGTGATTCAGGGGTGTGATTCCATGCGTTCATACTTTATTTACATCCGAGAAGTTTGGATTTTGAGCCTACCTGCCAGATGCCGATGCAGCGAAATGTGAGGTTTGGGCCATGCCACACGGCGCTGTTCAAACAGGGCAACTTCCGTTCCTCCGCGCACACCGCTAAACCGAGAAATCAACCTTCAAATCTTCACGATACCAAGGGAAAATTTGAATGGTTGGAAAAATCCGGGAAAAGAAAAATAAGTCGACCGGCAAAGACTTTGGGATCGATGACGGCCGTCCCGTTCTCCAGGCACCGAGCCGGGGCACCCCCAGCCTCGGAGCAATTGGCCCCGGTCTCGTTGCAGCCCAGCGGATCTTCGTTCTCCAAACCTGAACATCAACATCAAAAAATAAATGAACAAACCAAAAACTATTGATCGAAAGTGGGAAAAAATCGTGAAGGTGCTGGCACCCACCATCGGACCGTTTGATTCGCGGATGGACGCTCTCCAGCGCTTCCCTCACCTCTTCGGCCACCTATCAGAGAAGCCTTTTGTTTCAAGCTGAGTTCAGAAGAGATTCGCCGATTAACGAACAAAAGTATTGCACGCGGCGATACAACTCTGAAGCAGCACGATGTGAGAATCTGAACCGATTCCTAGAGAAACCTCCACAGGAGACAGCACCTCTGGGTGTGAGATTTCATTTGCCGAGAAGAGGATAACTCGACACAAAGGAAAGAAGTTTAGGGACTATCGGCCACATATGACTTTAATGCTCTACAGACAAAACGCAAATTTGAGCCCGTACCGAATTTTTTATCCGACAGTCGGCTGCTGAAGAAACACCTTTAATGTTAGAAAAGATTCCAGTCACGGGAAACAAAAAATCCTGGAAACTTTATGCACTTCACTCAAGTGCATGCAGTCGAAGTTGTGAGGGCGAGGCTTACCTTGTCAAGCACGGCGCGCATGTACTCATCGACGAGTTGGCGCTGAACGTCCTGTTGCAGCTCGAAGATGGCCTTGCGTCTTTCTCGGTCGGACCTTTTCTTTCGTGTCAGCGTGGCATTCATTTCGAGGTCGGAGCCGTTCGATGAGAATGGAGTAGTCGGAGTGCTTCCACCCGTTTCTCCGGCTGAGGATCCTTGCTCGCCGAAAAAAGAGGATCCATACATGGCCGAGGAGACATTGAAAGGATGGGAAGTTGGAAATGGATCCGTGCTAGAAGCAGGTTCCTTGTTTCCGGATAACAGGATGAAGTAGTCATCGGGCATGCCATTCGAGCAAGGGTTCAGTAACGTGAACTCTTGAGGTGAATGCCCCTGGTCATCATGGTAAAAGGAATTGACCACGCTGACCCAAGAGTTATCCATCACGATCATAATAGGGACATCACTCTCGCTCGATGGACCTCTCATGGAATCGCAGATTCGCTCCATAGCGGAAGGCTGGACCTTCACATCGTCGATGCTCGTCGCGTTCGCATCCGGATTCCACCAGATCTGGCTGCAGATGTCTTTCACGTCTATTGGGGTGAGGGCGTTCGGGTCAGAGCTCGCCGCTGGCTTCATGTTCTGGTAATCGGTTAGGCAGAGAGTGGTGCTCGAGGCTGCCGAAAGAGGAGAGCATTTTAGTGAGAGAGTAAGCAGGATCAATATCAACGTACATATAAAAGTCAATTATTACTAATGTGTAGTATTAAAGTGATACACATGTTCTGGTGATGTTGCATTTGGGTAGTTTACGAAAGAGCTGGCTATAAAGTCACTATAGATATGTGGTGCATTGTAGCTCGCAAACCGCAGGATGCAGAGAGGTGGCATTCATCAGAAAGGCGACGGGTAGCATTATGGGATTTTGAAAGAAAAAAGACGAAACATTTTATAAAATTCACTCGCAAATAGGAAGTCACAACACTTTGAATGTTTCATTCGGTCTCCATTCTGATCGAAGATGGCATCCATGCGTGAAAAGATGCTGGAAACGGCACACATTTCTGGAGGAAATGAATCCGCTTCCTGCTCAAACGCAGTCGGGTACACATCAAAACAGTAAAAAATAATACTCCCTCTGTCCAGAAATGATTGTCCTGTTTCACTTTTTCTTGAAAATTAAGGCTGGCTTGGGGCATTAATAAATTCTGCTTATGTAACAAAATAGTCTTCGGTGTCCTCTATAGCTCATATAGATTTGAGCATTTGGACTCCTTTTAAGGTGCAGTTTTGGGAGCCGAAAAATTCTTATTTGTAAGAGTTTTTGAACCACACCGATTAGTCCAAAATTACATCAATGGAAATTCTCGCTTCAGCACCTTG